AGCTCTTCGGTGCCGGGCATTCAGGAACAACTCACTACTGGCGACCGGCTCACTCTCCCTTGTCTCCTCCCCACTGGTCCAAGGCTCAGGTGCCACCTGGTGGCCAACCAGCCTCTCTGCGCCCTGCTCAGTCGGAACCCTGTCCAGGGTCCACCACATCCTCCAGAGCTGACTCATAGGGCCCCTCGCTGTCGGAGTCTGGTAGCAGCTTCAACGGCTCCTACTGGGCCACAACACTCACATAGATGGATGGATGGATGGATGGATGGATGGATGGATGGATGGATGGATGGATGGATGATAGATAAATAAATAAATATAACATCTTTTTTTAAAATAGATCTTTTTGACAACTACATGCAGCAGGATGCTCACGAATTTTTGAATTACTTGCTGAACACGGTTGCCGACATTCTACAAGAGGAGAAGAAGCAGGAAAAACAAAACGGCAAGCTGAAAAACGGCAACATGAACGAAGCGGAAGAGAACAACAAACAGGAGCTCACCTGGGTGCACGAGATTTTTCAAGGAACCTTGACCAATGAAACGAGATGTTTGAACTGCGAAACTGTAAGCATTGGCAGGATTAAAACAAGAATTACCTGTAAACAGCTGGCTAATCCTTGCCTAGTCAAAGAAATCTCTACCTTTATAAAGTCATCGAAATGAGGATGGTCCTAGTTGGTAAAGGCAATATTTATTTATTATGTGCGTGTTTGGGGGCCATTTATCTGTCCCCATTTATTGTGAACATTATTTTTTTTAAAGGGACTGATCTCTCAGCCCAGTTTCTTTATATATGCAAAGAGCACGGTGCATAATTTTAATATATACAAATCTATCTGCAAAAAGCAGACACGTTTACATAATTTAAATATGCAAATCTGTACCAAGAGCACAATGTACATGTGTATAATATGCAAACACCTGCAGGAATTTCTGGCCTTACGATCACAACTTGGCAGAGTTTGCAGTAGAAATCACATCCAGAAAGCACACACAGATAACTGATTCAGCAGGCTTCATTAACTTCTTTATATACGTAACAACACATGAATAAATGTACCATACCAACAGCAGATTCTTCCAAAGTGGGAGAGAAGAGAGATTGTTTCAGTTCAGAGTTCAGAGCAGACTACTAGATTAGTTTCGTTTCAGAGCTGAGCACAGAGCTAAGCCACGCCCAGACCTTTTGCTTAAGTTTCTGTTTTGCAAACAAGCCCCATTGGCTGACCTGTTATCATGCCAGTTCATTGGCTGACCTGTTACCATGCCAGTTCATTGGCTGACCNGGTTTAGTCGAACGCGGTTTTGTGGTGGAACCGGAATCAAAATGGACAGCAACTGAATTGCCATTCGATTGCTAAATCAAACTCAATTGTCATTTAGTGCCAAATCGGATGGCAATTTAAGACACCTGTGATCTTCGTTCATTCCTTGATTGGTTGCTTTGAGTAATGATGAGCAGTGGTAGGACAATAAAGAGCAAGTTGGGTTAATAACCAGACGTTGCATTAGCTGTTTGTTTGTTTGTTTTCATCCCTGCAGTTCGGCAACACGTGTTACTGCAACTCCGTCCTGCAAGCTCTGTACTTCTGCCGGCCGTTTCGGGAAAATGTGCTGGCGTATAAGGCCCAGCAGAAAAAAAAGGAAAACCTCTTGACGTGCCTGGCAGATCTTTTCCACAGCATTGCTACGCAAAAGAAGAAAGTCGGGGTGATTCCCCCCAAAAAATTCATCTCAAGGCTACGGAAGGAGAATGGTAGGTGTAGATCCCAGCTATTCAAGACAATGAGGAATGGATCTACCTAGTAACGGTATTCAGCCGGTTCGGACCCGTTCGGGAAAACTGGTAGTGGCAAGCTGCCGGCAACTCACCCGCTCCGACACTATGCCGTCCTATTTAGCCACATTTCCTAAGCTGCACGCATGTGAGCCAGCCGCGTGTGCACGCAAAGCGCATGCGTGGAAGATCATGCACATGCTCATATTTTCGGTGCACCGTGAACCGGTGGTAAAATTATGTAAAACCCTCCTTTTGAGCATCGTGTGTTCTGACCTAGGCTTCTCCAGCAGCACGAAGCCGAGTCCTCATCCCGACAAATCCCTTTTATTTAATTTACAGTCAATTCCTCTCCAGCAAAGCCTTTCCTCTCCAACAGTCTTTCAAGATAGTTCACAATTACCGAACTTTATCAGGCTTGGAGAGTAGCCAGGCTGATATCTTTCAGATGCCATAATTGGCAAGAATGCAGGAATGAATTAATTGTCTCCTGCAAACTCCACTCCCCTTTCGCCCCTCTTTTATTACCTCTGGGAGGGGCCATTCACTGTCCACCTGTGGCCTTACTCCCAAGTCGAACCCCTATTCTTTAGCTGTTCCCTTCGTCTGGACACTCTGCGCATGTGCACACTGGGAAAAGGCTACAGCTGTTCACCTGCCTCACTGATGTCTGACTCTGAAGGCAGCTGATAACTGGCGTACGGCTGTAACCCCCTCTCTGCCTCCGACACAGAGCCCTCATCAGAGCCTTCCCCAGACTCCAGGACTGGCCCATCTTCCTCCCCAACCTCCTCACTGGCGGGCCACAACAATATGGCTTTTCTTAACTTGATTTTTTTTATTCCTTTCATTCTGTATTGGTTTCACTTGTGTCTTTATCCCTATTGTTGTTAGCAGGCCAGAATTGTGTGCATTATAATATGAGCAGCTCTAGCCATCTTTTACATACATACATACATACATAGATACATACATACATACATACATGTTCTGACCCCCCTCGTTCCACACCCAAGCACACTCCAAGCCAAAGATAAGTTACGGCATTTAATGAACAGACAGACAGGTCCTTGGCAACAAAGCAGCACAGACAAGCTTGGGCAGCAATAAACACAGATAAGGCTTGGCAGCAATCCAGCCTGCCAAGCTTCTAACAATGTTCTCCAAAATTTGATCCTGTGCTGACTTCTGCAAAGAGGGGCGTGTGCACAACTAGTCTTT